ATGCAATTTTTTGAGTGTTTGAGGGAAGATGGGCCGAGTTTATTGTAGATTCGAATTGAGCAGATCAAATGACATGAAAATCTCTTTCGATCCGAGCCTGCAAATTTTTTTTTATCAAGATAATCCCGATTTATTGCAATTTTTGCAATTTTTGTGGGTTTTTTTACAATTTTCTTGAATATAAAACGGCTTATTGTCTAAGTACATATGAAATTAGTATTAAACGGATCAGAATACATAAAAATTATGCGTTTCCTATATCCACAAATTTTTTTTGTAACGAAAACATCAAATTTTCGCTATTTTTTAGGATTTTTTGCAATTTACTCGAAATTGGGGGGTGACCGGCCAAAACTAACTCAAAATTCGGATTCAGCGGGTCGAAAAACATGCCCGTAGGTAGGTGGCGTCCGGTGTACAGAACAAAAATTTTTTTTTGTGTGCCGGTGTAATATATGCATATTCTACGTGCGCAGCGGATGAAGAAGTTAATTTTTAGTATGAAAAGTAGCAAAACATTTCAAACATAAACCTACATTACATTTTGCACAGGCTACTCGTCCTATAGTTTTACATGCTTCACCAGCACAACGAAGTTTTTTTGTCAATTTGTATGGGTCAGTGGTGTAGTCACAAAAACATATAAGGTCCCAGTGTGGAGACCTCCGAGGCTAGGTATTTAATATCGAGCTGTCAATTAAAGACCACAGAAAGTATTTGGGAGTAGTCTTTGAGAGCAAGCTGCTGTGGATGCGCAATGTTGAAGAAACAGAGAAGAAGGCCAGTAACGCCCTTTATGCATGTAAAAGAATGCTGGGAGTCAGTTGGGGTTTGTCACCTGCTCTGATGCATTGGTGCTACACAGCAATAGTCAGCCCAATACNTGGGTTTCTCCTAAGTATTTAGTATCGAGCTGTCAATTAAAGACCACAGAAAGTATTTGGGAGTAGTATTTGAGAGTAAGCTGCTGTGGATGCGCAATGTTGAAGAAAGAGAGAAGAAGGCCAGTAACGCCCTTTATGTATGCAAAAGAATGCCGGGAGTCACTTGGGGTTTGTCACCTGCTCTGATGCATTGGTGCTACACGGCAATAGTCAGTCCAATAGTGCTCTATGGCGCTTTGGTGTGCTGGAATGCCGCACAAAAGTCCTTATGTCTCGCCACAATGGAGAAGGTGCAGCGCCTAGCGGCACTGTGCATCACGGGAGCGCTGAGGTCCACTTCGACGGCTGCTCTTTAAAAACCATGCTGCGAAATCCACACGTAGATTGACAGTCATAGGGAAATTAAATTTCAGAACCTTTGGACACCACTTAATTGGAGCGGGAAGCACAGGCAGCACAGGCTTCATGGCACCTAGCTTTAAGTGGAAACGAACTTTTTGCACAACGATTGAGGAAGAGGGATGGAAATGAAACCTAGCCATAGATCCCTAAACATTTTCACGGACGGCTCTAAAATTGTTACGTGAGTGGGTGCCGGGATTTACTACCGGGAACTGAACGTAAGGCGGACAATAATGCTACCTGCCCATTGCAGCATATTTCAAGCACAGGTTTTCGCAATTAGGATAACTGCAGAGCTAGCCTTCACCGAAACGACAATCAATTCAAAATTAAACCTATTCCAGACGTCAATTAAGGCAGTTTCTTCATATAGTATTTCATCCATAAACGTCCCTCGCAGCCGGGAAGCCATTGAAAAGGTAGACGCTGACAAAAGGCTTCATATCTATTGGGTGCCCGGTCACAAGGGAATCTAGGGTAATGGAATAGCAGATGAGAATGCAAGAAACATCACCAGTCTTCCCTGGAACAGAAAAACGACATTTGTGTACCACTTCAACACTTGTACAATGAAATATGCGATAATATGATTAGGCAGTTCAGGGCTAGTTGGAATGAGTTAACCACCTGCGAAACTGCAAAAATACATACAAACGATTTTGTTTTACACTGTCTCATACATGATGATATTTTGCGTTGCCATATGGCAACACGGGGTCAATTCGGGCTAGCAAACATATCAAAACTTGGTAAAAAAGGAACAGTTCACATTACCCCCCGTGTTACCATATGGCAACGGACTTGAAAAACACTTAAATTATATAGCATGCACGATTGTTTTTTATTGTTACTTGTTATCAATAGAGTCACTAATGTTTTAACTAGTATTTTATCACTGTCATATTTTATAAATAAAAAAACGCTTTCTATATATTTTGTTTAAAGAACACACTTGCTTACACTCGATAGACAGCAAGGATCTGACAGAAGCATATGCGTTTCGAAAGATACATCTTTTAGGAATTAGTTAACGTACATATAAGCATTTTGAAGTAAGCGCTTTTTGTTTTACACCCTCTTAAACATGATGTATTTTGCGTTGCCATATGGCAAAACGGGGTCAATTTGGGTTAACTAAATCATATTTTTGGTTGGTGATTTTTATACCTTTCATGAGCATGAAATGGTATTATAACTTTGGTCCGATGTTTGTAAGTACCAGAATAACAAGAGATAGACCCATTAAAATGTATACTTAAATGATCAGAACGGCGAGCTGAGTCGATTTAGCCATGTCCGCCTGTCCGTCTGTCTGTCCGTCTGTCTGTCTGTCTGTCTGTCCGTCTGTTTGTATGCAATCTAGTCTCTCAGTTTTCGAGATATCCGGATCAAATTTGGTAGGTGGGTGTATTTTTATAATGTATTAATCATTTGTCGGAACCGGAAGAATCGGACCACTATAACATATAGCTCCCATACAACTGATTGTTCAGATATGAGATTTTTCGTTATAACTTCTCCATTTATGCAGCT